ACTGTCAATAAATAATTGGTAATATTAGAAAGTGAAATAAAAATATTTATAGTATTACATTATAAGTTAAACTTAAAAGATAAGAAAGCCTAAGGGAGAGCTATACAATGACGTCTATTAATGCCTCCGACACGTTGGGGGAATTTTATTTGCCAGTTGGCCAGCTATGCCCCGATTCACAGCCAAATGTGGTCAGAGACATTATAGACCTAACAAACTAAACAAATAGCAAGTAGAAGAGAAGAATTAATTCTACTTAAGAACTAATTAGAAAAAGTAAGGTGTAGAAAGAGGAAGAGGAAAAAGAAAAAATAAGAGGGAAAGAGAGATACAAAGACAGAGAAAGAGAAAGAGGTAAAGAGGTAAATCTCCAACCCGGTGGGGGAAAATTTAAATGCCAGTCCGGCTAGCTATGCCCCGACTCACAGCAGAAGTGGTCAGAGATTTTCCCGAAGATAATTATAAAGAATAATTAATTTAGTTAAGGGCTTTACCAAGAAAAAAAAAGTGGTAGAAAATTAAAACTACTTTTACAAGCCTTTATTAAATTTCCTGGACATACAAACTTTACGTTTTATTAGACTCGTTTACTTTAATTTTATTATTTATGAATTAACTCAACTGTGCAATATGTATTTCCGAGCTATAATTTAACTAAATTTAAAGCATTTGCGATGAGTATGCAGCTGACAAATAATAAAATTGGTAGTGCAGGATAAATGAAATAATAATTTAAATTTGTTTATCGATATAAGTGCTTTGACATTTATTGACTGTGTAAATAAAAATATAGGTTTGTCTTTTAGCCAACATATATGCCCAATTAATGATAATGTGTCGGTATGTTAAGTTACATCATGCTAGGTCCATTTTGAAGAAAGTTATAGCCATAAATGTAATCTGTGCCGCATAGATCCGCTTCTGTTGAAAATGTATGCAGTCGAAACTGCACATAAACAAAGTTCTCCACTTTTATATGTATGCATTGAATTTTTATTTAAAAATATTTATTTATTTAATTAATGCAATTTTTAAAATACATTTTTAAAAATTTTATTTGTGGGAGTGAGTACGCTGGACCTTAGCATTCCCTTCTTGTTTCTTCTTATGTGATTGCACAAAATTGGACTGCAGCATTAGCAGCACGCTTAAATATAACAACGTTTATGTATAAGCCAAAAAGGATATAACCACATTTGAAGTCGACAGGCTGATCTTCAGTCTGAGGGTGAGAATTTCTGATGCATGCCGTTAAGGCACCAGCCGCAGTCACATGAAGTTTGTAAGTTGTCTTTTTTTTGAGCGGGTTATAGGATGGGCTTCTTTTGGTGACTCTAGGGTTTTTTGATTTTTTTGGTGCTGCTGAAGTTTTTTAAGAAGCACAAAGACTGCTTAAAGAACTTGACGTTTGATTTGCAATCAAAATGAATACCTATCAGGCTGCAAATACACACACACATACACGTGTGTACTACAACACGACACATCCAAAATAATAAACAACAAACGACCCGGAAGAGGCACAGGCCTCTCCACTGGGCCTCTTGGCTGAAATATTGGCCTAGCGATTTGACATATTGCCAACAAAGGAACTCATTATCTGTGCATTAAACAGCGGCACTAAGCGGCGGTTGCTCTGCAATATGTGGGGGGCGGGGGAGGGATTGTTTCTGCTATATATGTGGATGTGAGTGTCACGCTTATAAAACACATTTATCATAACTAATCCTTTGGGTTTTGGCTGCCATGCCGCAACGCGCCTTCCTGCAACCGCCACCACCACCACCACCACCACCAGTGCCGCCGCTTGTCGCCGATAACACTTTGAATAATAAATAAATACGCAAATACAACACAGAAATTTTTGGCAAGGCGCAGCAGAGTGGAAATAGAAATGGTTAGGGTAGGGTAGGGCGGGATAGGGTAAGTGTCGGTGTTGGGTGTTGTTGTGGGGGCCGTCGCTTTTTAATGCAAACGATTATCATATAAGCAATATAAGAATAAATTGCATGCCACATACAAAAAAGGATGCTGGCAGGACGATCACAACACGTACCCAGCAACTTGGCAGTGTCGCGTGATTGTTGATTGCTGTGTGGGAGACGAAGTGGGGGGCCGGGCGGAATGGTCTTTGATGGGTATCGTGCTCTGCTGGCAAATACCCAGCGTATTTATTAGAAGCTTATAAATATAGTAGCAGCAGACAGAGCGACACTTACGAGTGTATATTGCACACATACATACATAGCTGCTGCTCGTTCTTCCTCGTTCGCTTTGCAAATTGACTACGACGGCTGCCTTTTGGCAGCATTTAAATAAATTTCACACAGACAGCAAGACAGCAAGACAGCAAGACAGCGGGACAGAAGACACAGAGCTTAGCAGGCCGGAGCATAGAAAATAGGCAACATGGGAATATGGGAACAACAGCAACAACTGCTAAGTTGTTGGCAACTACATTGGCTGCGGGCTGGCACCCATTAAAGCCAATTGCCCACAAAATCATGCACGATATCATAATTGCTCTTGGTGGTTTTGCGCTGCTGGCCAGCATCGTTTGGTTAGCGACATAGCTCCATGGGTCAGTTGAGGAACATGGCGCTCTGCAGGCCCATGTGAAATATTGTTTATTTCACAATCCCACCCATATACTACTCGTACACCCCCATTCAACCTCACGCTTACACAATCGTGAAGAGAGCGCTCTGCAAATCGCAGCGACGATAAATTTAAACACTTGTTGTACAATTTATTAGAAACATTTGTGGTTGTTTGGGTATTTAGCATGAGCATGCAGCGTACGCTATAAATGTCTCTAGGTTTCATGAATCTGTGGTGTGAGTTATATGCAGCACAATACAAGTATTGGGCAATTGGCACATGGAGCCTCTTTATTTCGGCTGCTTTTGAGTGTATGCCAAGTTAATTAAGTCAAACACAGGAGATCTCAGACTCAATCAGGGTGTCCGCTGGCATTTCTAATTACAAAAATAATAACACATAAAATATTATAAATATAAATATTTTAATAAAAAACAAATATTATTTTGGAGCGCAATTTGTTTTGATTTCTTTGTTTGTCAATTTTGGAACCGAAAAAGGTACTTTTTAAAATAAATTTGATGTGATACGTAAATGATTTCAAATACAAATATTTTAAAATGAATAATAAAATAACTGAACTTTAAATGGGAAGAAGTATTTTTTCAATAACGCTATAAGAGGTATTTATTAGATTCTTAATTAACTAAGATGTCTGATTGGGCTTCCAAATAAGTATAAAAGTATTTATAGATATCAAGGATATTCCACCAAAAATTTTTCAATATTTGAGACAAATTATGCTCCTTATTTTGCCTTATTTGTCCCATTTCGGATCACCCTCATGCCAAGGCTAATGAAATGGACTCCGAGCGTTGCATAAATTTAATTGTTTATCTAGACTCTGACGCAAAGGCAAGTGCGAGAGTGGCAGCAGCGGCAACAGTGGCAAAGGGTTTGGCCTGGTTTGGCAGCCATCCAATGATGGCCGCGCTTCTAATGGGCTGCCAATGTTTTGGCAAGCTAATGAAAGCTAGATGAGCATGTGTTGGGCTTAACGAGCTGTTCGCTGACTTATATGGCAAACATATGGCAGTCGCAGACACATATCGTATATAGAATACACCCACACTCGCATACAGGACGCAAAAGTCTTTGCAAGTCATTGCCGGCTGCCATGATGATGACTTTTAAACTTTCTATTAAACTATAACAACGATGATAGATGAATAATAAGAAAGCGAAAAAATACATAATAAAAAAGTTTCTTTTACTATGTTGGCGACATCAGCGTAGGGTAAAAATTTCTAGGCATCAGGCAGAGGCAGCGGCAGCGGCAACAAAACTAGCAAAGCGTTGCCATATTTGCCAAGGCATGCGAGCGTCGCATGAGAATGATGATGGAGAGTGGCGGGCAAGGGAGGTCCTGGCAGAAGGAGCAGTTTCATGAAAAAAGTTAAAGGGCAGACGAAGGCGGCTACGAAGACTGATGCTGCAGCATTTGCGGTGAGTGCGTGCTCCGCATAAGTTAGCCAAGGCATCAGACATCAGCCATCAGGCATCAGGAATGAGCAGACACTAGGAGCAGGCACTAGGCAGCCAGCCAGGCACCCAGCTAAGGCATGGCATCGAACAGATTGATGAGTTGTTGAAAAATGGCAAACTTAAACAAGAATTTTACTTAAAGATATAGAAAGGCAACTAACCCGCACACACACACACACACACAGGCACACACCCAGATACACACATCCATTCATATTGAGGGCAAAAGGAATACGCTTAAGAATGCAGAACGAGGCATTGGCAATGTCGATGGGAACTGACGACAACGATGTGTGCACATGGGAAAGCGAATCACTAACGACTGAAGATGGAGAGAACGGCTTCAAATTGTGCTCCTCGGAAAGTTCAAAGCAAAGACGCGGCCGGCAGTTCAATGAAGAAAAGGACCGAACTAGGGTATTGTAATGGAAAGGCTCACATGATTATTGTAAAAGTTGTTGCATACATAGCTTTATGGCCTGTTCAGTACAAAGGACTTTAGTGGGTCAGCCTAAGTATCACGAGTTCCAATAAATGTGCAATACATCCATTTGATTAGCCTTATAACTTATTACTACATAGTACAGTATGTATCTGAAAAAAGTAAAATTACTATACTAGAATAATAAAAGTGGTACGTCTTAAGTGGCTTTATATTGACAAAATCATTTATTGAGGTTTAATTATGATGCATTTGTTTGAATTATGTTTTATGTATCATTTAACTGTCTTGATTTATTTAGAGTGCTTTAACAAGATCTTCGGTGTACTGCAGTTTTTACTTTTTATACATTTCCTATTTAGTTAATGCCTCTTATCAGCACTGCTTTCACCTTTTGACATATTAATCAAGAACGAGAAATGGAAAACAAGTATGTTAGCAATGCGTTGGAATTAGTGCCAAACATGTAAATTAATACCTACGTGCATATACACACGCAGATTATAAGACAGAAAAAATGAGTAACGCAGGTATGCGAATAGTACCGCCAGACGATGAAGTGACGGTTATTAGTCCGGACTGTCTGGAACTAGATCTGTGCCATCATCGCATAAGGAAATTGGAACATCTGGAGCCACTGAGAAAGATAGAGCGTCTATATTTGCGCCGGAATCTTCTAAAAAAGATAGAAAATTTGCATACTCTGACAACGCTCATGGAGCTGGAGCTTTACGATAACCAAATTACGAAAATAGAAAACCTCGATTCACTAACTAAGCTCAATATATTGGATCTGAGCTTTAATAGGTTGACGAAACTAGAGAATCTTGAGAAGCTGGTCAACTTACAGAAGCTTTATTTCGTTGCTAATAAGATCACCGTGATCGAAAACATTGGCATGTTAACCAACCTGACTATGCTGGAGCTGGGCGACAATAAGCTGAAGAAAATCGAAAACCTAGGCACCTTGGTTGGCCTGCGCCAATTATTTTTGGGAAAGAATAAAATTTCGAAGATCGAGAACCTAGACAATCTCGTTAATCTGGAAATCCTCAGTCTCCAAGCAAATCGTATTGTAAAAATTGAAAATCTTGACAAGCTTGTCAAGTTAACGCAATTATATTTGTCCGAGAATGGAATCGAAGTTATGGAGAACCTTTCGACGCTAACTGGCTTAGAGACATTAGATCTATCACAGAACAGAATCAAGATGATTGCTGATTTGAAGGCAATGGAACAACTAGAGGAACTTTGGATGAGCTCGAATAATGTTTATGATTGGAAAAATATAAACGTGCTAAAAGATAATAGGAAGCTTAGAACCATTTATTTAGAGGGAAATCCGGTGGCTAATGATATTCGATATCGGGCCAAGCTTTCTGATATGTTGCCACAACTGAGAAAAATTGATGCCACTTATTGTCGGGCGACGATTTTTTGAACTAACTTCCATATAAGGGCACATCGCATTCTAGTTCCATTGTATTTCTTCTATAGAGCAAGAATAAAAATAAACAAAATATTAAAAACTGGTTTCTTCAATTTACTTGACGTTTTATTGACCTTTAATCGCAATAGGAGAGTCTGCATCCCAAGATTGGTGATTCTATACCCCTTCTACAACTATATGAGACATGATTGTGTTCGTGCCTTCAGCCAGATACATAGACAGAAGAACTTACGCATTTCTTTACATCAATTGTTACTTTCACTTTTTCTATATGTACATATAACATTCCTAATAATCTACCATAATAAAAATAAATATTGGGGTGAAGGTCAAGGCACATAATTTAATAATTTTTTTACATAATTTAAAAAGTGCCATTGGAAAGCAAATAAGAATGCTAATTGGATTAATTACAAAGACATTGAGAACATTGCAAAAAAAGTTTAACCCAATGAGATGATTATGGACACAAACGATCAGATAACAGGAAATTATAAACTTCAGACGACATTCGTCTTCGTCAAGAACAAAAGAAGTCTAAGTCCAATCGGCTGACAAAGCCGACAAGATACTGATTCACATACTGTCACAGATGGCGAAGTGAGCTTCTATTACATGATTACCTAATTATTCATTTGCATGCTCACTTATTAAATCTATTGCCAAATGTGTGCTGTGCGATTGTGATGTGGACTTAATGAATACTTTTTGAATTGCATTGTTTTGGTGTAAAGGAATTTAAAAAACTCTTTAAAGAAAATGAAATTCCGTGCATTCGTTGCAATTGTGTTGAAGATTTTGACTGATACCCGTTATTATCTTTGATGCAAATATTTCGTATTATTGTTCTTGAATATTCTTAAGATTGAAACATCTACAAATCATTCATATAACATTTAGTTTTTATAGAAAATATTTTATGGCAACATTTGTTTAAAAGAAAGTAAAGAAAGAAGTTTAATATTTAAGTGAAGGTAAATTAAATTATCATATTTTTAAAAATGTCTTATACGTGGCAAACCATTACTTTAAAAAACATGTCGTCGGACCACATTCTCGACGTCTTATCCCTAACATCGCCATATTAGCACATATATGACTTTTACCCGATCTGATGACCCGCATTCATCATAAGAGTGCAAATAACCAGCGGGAGTCTTTAATGTACGTTAGGCGGAATCGTTCAAACGAAGGACTTACAAGTAGATATATAGTATACTTGTAGTAAACCTTGTTATGTTAGCTTTGCAATAAATGCCTACACGACTGTGTAAACACATTTCTCGCCAGGTTCGTCAGCCTAAATGCTGCTAAGCTCTTCCTTTTTCCAAGGCAACTCGGATATTTTTGACGAAGATGGGCGGCCGGAAGAGCTTGCAATTGCTGCGACACCACTTGGGGAAAGTCTACTATAGGGTGTACGTGTATTTGTCGCTGTTCGCGATTGCCCTCGTCTGGTTGTTGCATAGGACCCGCAAACGGATCTACACGCTACCACTGAGCTGGAGGAGCATTTGCGTGCTGTATGGTTGCATTGCCTGTGTGGCCTTCATGCTGACCTTTGTGACGTATTATGGGTGGACGGCCTGGGTGGTGATGCGCCGGCAGCATCGTGTGGAACGTCTGGCCACACGGCGGTCGCACATCCTGTTCAAATTCTATCGGCTGCAGAGGCTGATGGCGACAAGCAACCAGGCGATGGGGAAAGATCGATGAGAGAGAGAGAACGGTTATGTTTTAATTGGCTTCAATAAATTAATCAGTTTGTATTTTATTTTTGCACGCTAAATTCGCATTGCGTGTGTACTATATGCGCGTAATTACATAATTTAATTGAGCAAATATGTAAATCATTTAATAAAAATGTAAATGCAGGTGCAAAAATTAAAAATGTAGTCATAAAAATGTTGCAGGTCTACCATGAGTGTGCGTGCGTCTGTAAAAAACAGGCAAGCAGACATTTTGTAAATATTATTACTACATTTTTTGCAATTTATTTATATTTTGTGTGAGTGGGGGGCGGACAGGACTCGCAGTTGGTTGTGCTTTTTTTCTTTCCATTTTTACTGCTGCATGATAATAAATTTGCATTTAAATCACCGCCGCCAACGCCAAATGGCTAGGAGGGCATGAACAGCACAAAAGTCAAAGCGGCAGTGATTGGAGTTGTGGGTTGGCACTGGCTTGGTATTGGGGCGTCCACTTTTTGGCTGTTGTCTGTCGCTTGGACCCGTGCCACACGAACGTACAAAACATTCGAAACAAAGCGTCAGTCGCCGCACTCGCACCCGTTCTCGCCATCGAAATCGCCGTCGCCGTCGCCGTCTCTGCCTGAATATACAACATTATTAACCACAAAGTGTCACATGATTTTATTCTGCTCGTTTCCGTTTCATTTTACCTGGCTGCAGGTTTTTTGCGCGTCCCGTCGCTCTTTTGCCAACAATGCCACCTAAAACAACAACAACAGCAACAGTGACGATGAAGGCGGGTTGGTGGGCGGCCACGAAAACCAAGCCAACCACTTGGGTGCCCGAAGGCGGCCAACCCGCGGCCGTTTAATATGCTATAAAGATGGACGTCTGACCAGATCGTGAGGTTCTGCTAAGTAGCAATCACCAAGAATTGGATGACATTACGATTATACTTGTACATATGTAGGAAGAAACTATTTTTAAAAAGCATTATTCGTATTATAAATGGCACATAATCTACTGAATGGCCTCGGGCTTACTGACACAAGGAACGCCTGCCGAAACGAAATCAATATCCTTGAACAAAATTAATCGCGTCAACGTGATCTTCTTAATATAAACATTAGTACGTCAAAAGAAGGTGCGTTCTCGCTCGTTCGGTTCATTTAAAGTTAATTTTCATGATCAACCTAGCTATCGGTCTTTAAACAATACTAAAACTAAAACTAACTAAGCACTGACGTGGAACAAAATTTTTGCATTAGCTTATCCTAAACCTCTAAAGTGGACAGTGGGATACGGGCTCTAGAAAGGTCTTAATGTGCCCTTCAAACAGATCCAATACAAGAATAAACGTGGCTTTTAGCTGATCAAGACTTTAAACGGCATTTGATTTTATGAAGCAAGGGCATGAAACAGTTATTTATGGAATTGGAATTATGAATCTCTGAAATACCACATATTGACTGAACATTGTGACTGCCAGAAGAAAATTTCTCACTGCGCAATTTTAATTTTTCATTAAAAAATACATTCGGAATTTTCTTGTTATTGCACTGTTTGAAAAATTACATTTGACGATGAATAAATATTTTTTGATAGCGTTTCAAAAGTTTCAACTGTCATCACCATGAGCGAGGAATTCAGCGTGTAAGGTGTAATTTAAAGATGTCTTTAAATAGACTCAGATAAATCGGTATCTTTCAAACAATTTGAATTCCGTTAATTTTTAAGATGCTTGGCTTACTTAGCTGGATATCCAGCACATATATCTTTTATTCTTTTACTAGTTTTCCAACATTTAAAATCTCTTTTAAAACCTACATTGAATGCCAATAAACACACAATTAATAATGTTTTTGTTGTTTTTGAACAATGAGCGGGATTTCATAATTTTGGGTGGCTAGAGTGACTGACTAGAGTAATTGTAGTTTATTCTCACGCACCCATCTTTAGGCCCTATTCTCATTCCTGCAGAAAGCGGGGTTCGCTTTTATTTTTGGCTGACTTTTGTCCGATGTTAAACGCTGATAAGCACAAAAGGACACTTCAACATAAAATAGCAGTAAGTAGCGGCACTTGTCTTGGACTAGCAAGGACTCAGGCAAAGTTTCCCGAGTAGTACAGACGTAGTTAGCATGCACTGCGAGTGCAGTTAACAAACTGCAGCCTGGGATTGCAATCGCCATAAAGCGACTTTGCCGTTGCGAACAAAATGAAGTGCAAATAAAAGCGCTGCAGTTTTTGGCTCTGGGCTGGACAGTCCCTAAAACCCAATCCCAACCCCATTCCAGGACATACAAAGTACGCCACATATTTCAACAAATTTTTTTCAGCTGCTCTGACGTTCCGTGTTTGGGTTCATTTTTATTTTATTTTTGCTTATTCTTTGTGTGAAACAAGCAAACGGAAATACTCAAAAAGTGTTTTGTTTGTTATGCTAAAATTTAATGGCTCAGGAAGTCATATTAAAGACTAACAAGAAGACACTTAAATTCAATAAAATTTATCTGCAAGTCATGTCGCCTAAAATGCATTGGAATTGCAAACATGTTTTGTTTATTTTAAAATGCGTATTTATTTTTCGTTTGATTGACCATGGTATTGAATGTGAATCTGAAAAAATATTCCAATGTACATTTTAAGCAGAGAAGAATGCGGGGATGTTTAAAAATGATATCATTTAGTTTTAAAGAATGCATTTTTATTATGCATTTAAGTAACTAACACTATCTATTTTACAACATAAAGAAATTATTTTAAAACCAATTGTAAAAGTTCAAAATATTTGTTGATTACATTTCATATCTTACCAACCTGAAGTAACCAATTTAAGTCAGTTGCGTGGGATTTATACACAAGAAAATAAACTATTAGTCCGCAAATATATTTTCAAAAGCATGCAATTGTGTTCTAGGAAACTGGTGCAGCTTACAAGGATGATTAAAAGTGCCTTCAGCACCAGATTCTAGTCATGCCATAGTTACTCACAACCTCCAACCACTGCCTACTTCTCAGAATCAGCTTAAGTGAACCTAGGCGGAAACAATTATTATACATTGCCTTGAATTTATGAGCATTCCTGGTAAGCACTCAACTCCAAAAAACCTTGACAGTTACTGGAAATAAGGCAAAACTCATTTATGACAAGTCCTTCGAAAGTGTAAACTTAAATTTAAAACAATTGTAAAATGCTAAACAAGTTTTTACAATATAATCTGAAAAGGGGCACCCCAGTATTTGAACTTATTGTTTTATTAATTTTATTATTTATTTATTTTAGAGAAATACTGTTTTTCAAAAAACAACGTGGACAATTAAAATTGAAATCGCTATGATGAAACCATTGCCAATACTTACTTATATTGAATATATTGGTTATAAAAAACAACGCCTTGTTTAATGAAATCCAATACAGAACTCTACATAAGAAATGACAAAAACGCAAATAATGTAAATTAAATCCCAAACTAAACAGAACTTTAAGGTTTTTTTTACTGGTGGCACCACATATTGATTGGTGACTGCGTTATTAAGTAACGCTGTGATGCCAGCTGATGGTTTAAAATATTTGTTTGAAATGCTTTGTAATTTTGCAAGACGCCATATTAAGTCAGAACATGACTATTTAAAAAAATAAACTTACTTTGCCAAAATTTCAATTATGTGTATTTATTTTTTAAAAGTGCCGCCTACTTCGCTTGTATCTGTGCATCTTTAAGGAAATAAAAATATATTCTTTACTGCCCCTTTTGGCAGGCTTCAATAGTCTTGAATGCGTTGGCATTCGCATTTTTTAAAACATTGGCTCGCTTTTGTTTTGTAAAACTATTGTATCAATTGATTGTGTACAACAATTGTACTCGAAGTTGCAAATGTCGACTTTTATATGTGAAAGAATGTTTTTATATTTTCAACATGGAAGTGAATATCGAATACATTCGTTCGCTTCTAGTGGGTACTGCCAAACGAAATGGCAAAGTGGTGTATTTTTCACAAGAAAAAATTGTTGTTTATTATTATATTGAATGTCACATATTAAGGGTAAAAAGCGAAAAGAGTTGGTTGTGACTTAAAAAATTGGATTGCTTTACATATTTACGTATTCATAATGAAATGACACTTCAAATAAAATTTTGTTCTTCTTTTATTTGTGTCTTTTGTGTGGATTTATATTTTCGTATTTTTGAATTTTCGTTAAAATTCAATTTTTGTAAACGACTTCTGTGTGAATTTATTTAAGCAATAGAAAGCTTCACATCAAATCGTATATATAAAACGCCCCATCATTGGTGAATATTCGTATCATGCTGTTGCAGGAGAAACAATATTGAGGAAGTTGTCACATTGACGAGCACAGATCTAATTGATATTGACATAGTTCTTTTGTTGTTTTTTGCTGTGCAATCATAAAAAGTCACCGGCCAACTTGCCTGCAAGTCAAAACTAAGCCTCAAAATGGCAGCTCTCGATGGGTTCGAGTAGTTATGTGTGCGAAATTGAGTCGGAAGCGAGTGTGAAGCAATGCGGAAGGCCATTTTTTTATTCCAACTCTCCTGGCTTTCTTGTTTTTCCCTGAACTGTTTCAATGCGAGTGAAATCCAATGTATTTGCCACTTGCACTGACACTGTTATGCGGACAACATCTGTGCATGTGTGAGTGTTTGTGTGTGTGTGTGTGTGTATGGGTCTCTGCGACTGTGAATGTTTTTCTATATAGCATACATGGAGGCTCGCGCACTATGCGCAGCATTTTATTTGGGCACGTGCTGCTCGTCATTTAAGAGTTTTGTCTGCACTTTCGTTGCTGGAATTTTAAAATATTTTTGCAAGTCAGTGTGTGTGTGTGTGTTTGTATGTGTGGAAAATGCCTGCGTGGCTTTTACTTTTCGCCCTTTTGCGATACAACTGCCTGCCTGGCTCTCTGCATGTCTGCCTTGCTGTCTCTCTGTCTGTCTGTTTGGCAGTATGTCTTTGTATGCGTATGTGTGTGTGTGTGGATTCGCGTGAGTGTGTGGCACCACAATATGACTGTTGCTGCCACTGCCTGTAGTGCCTCTGCTGCCAATGGTGCCTGTGCTGCCTGCTAACAAAGTGCCCAAGTGGAATGCAACATTGTTGCTTCACAGCATTCAAATG